ACCATCGGATATCCCTCGGCTAATTTGCCAGCGAGTTTTCCTTTCGAATGGAAACGCTACAGGGAAGATCGGCGTATAACGAGATAATGTTTCTCAATTAATTTCTCGGGCGAGAGTTTTGCTCTCACAATATATCCATTTCAAGCTTCGATTGCATTTTGGCACTTCAGGCTTAAATCCGCACAACGATCTATATCCTGAATGCATCGAGTTTAAATTGATTCAATTGTGTCCTCGCGGAGGACACGGATTATTTCGTCTTTGCTTTCGTTGCTTCAACGCGAATATTTCAGACACTTGCGCAACGATAACTCGTGGAAACGAATCTTATTGTCGCTTCGCAGACTAACGCTGACAAGTGGAATTATAACGTGCCTCCATTTACGACGCTCTAATTGTCCAATTAATTGTTCAACTATATCTGGACACCCCGTACATTTTCCTAGGCGATGCTCGATCGTTATCGACATCGGTCGCGTGCCGATGAGAGGCGGTGACGACGCCGAGAATAAGAAATTACGTCGTAAGAGTCGGCGCGTGCCAAACTCACCCTCCGCCGTAAACCGTGATTACAATACACACATACACACACACACACACACACACACACACACACACACACACACACGAATCTGTACTCAGGCGGCGGACAAAGTGTGGCCGCATAGCTAGTGACCGCATCCATATGCATCGCGTGGTCGTAAAGAACAACGCTGTCGAAATTAAGGTAAGATACGCCGAAGAGCGGAGGGAAATATGTTCGCCTTGCAAATGAGTCGGAGCACTTTCTTGAATTCTACTTGCCGCTAGTCGAACGAACGAGCCGGCAGCAGCTGGATATTATATTATCTCCCGGCGTTATAGTCACACGAGTAATGTCAGAAGCCAGGGACGCGCGTAGATGGCTCTATCAATGGCGAATGCCGCGACCCTGGGTAAACTCATTCAGTGAACAACATTCTCGGATTTTTCTCATCGTTTCTTCGTCGGCCTGAAAGAATCGCGAAAACGGCACTGCAAAGTGGCTCCAACTTAGATATCGCTTCCTCCGATCACGGATCAAGCTCCAATTTCGACTCAAACTTGCTCAAAAAGGCGCATCGTGACGAAAATGTTTTCATTTCAAAAGAGAGTTCTACATTCCTTAGTTCCCTCGCAATTATTACATACTCAATATGTAATTCTTTTCTACTGTTCCAAAGTCGAACGTAGAAAGGCGAAATAATGCGCCAAGCTGTAACTGAGACTTACGAATTGACGTTTCCAATTTTATTTTTAACCTCGAATTAATTAAATTTAAAGTCTAATGATTTCGTTTTAAAACTAAGATTTTCGCTGCTTCTAATTTGAGGTCTAATGATGAATTTCGCTTCTAACGCTTGTTCGATAAAGTTACCGATCGAATTATCGATCGATCGGTCAAAGTTAATGAAAGCTGTTCTAAACCTAAATGATCAAGCCGTCATTAGGACTGTTACTTTAACGCGTGTGTGTTTCCCCGTGTGTAATTCCCCGTCGTAGGGAACGGGAACATTCGTTGGAAACGAGCTCGACATATTCGATCTTAATTGGATATCGCCGCGACCATGCGAAATGATCTCCCGAACAGAAATTCTGTTTTATGCATGTTCTTGTTTTATATAGATCGCCAACATGCGCACGTTGAAATTATCCGAGGTATCCAAAGATACGCACGCCTCTTGTTCGAAAGTTTCTCACTCTTGATTAGTTAGACATCGCTGCAGCGAATAGCGTAGGAGGATAATTTTAGTCAAGTCTCGAACGACTTGAAATTCGTTAACCTCTCGAGCGAGTTAACTCGCTCGAGGGAAGCAGGACGAGGCGATTGTTTACGGGTCCTATTTGTTTCCGTCGTCGTCATCGTCGTCGTCATCACCGTCGTCGTCGTCGTCGTCGTCGTCGTCGTCGTCGTCGTCGTTCTGCGTCGTCCACTTGCTCGTTTTGCAAGGAGAAAGGTGAATGAGAAAAAAAAATATGTTATACATATTTTCGCTCTATTGCAAAATGCTCGCTGGAATTTCAATTTTTACAACTGAAGCTTTGACACGCGTCTGTCTCTCTCTCTCTCTCTCTCTCTTTCTCGCAAAATAAATCAAACAATTTTGCAAGAATAATTTATGTTGCTTTGATTGTATCAACTTAATTATTAGATTTGCCATTGTAGCATGCATATGTAAGAGGAGCGGAGCACGGGGAGGGAAGAGAAATTATATCTAACATTTAAAGCATCATAATATCGGAAATCAATGCGACGAGTTATAACGTTTAAAAGCAATGTTCAGCAACGACATAACTAACGAAATATTTATCCGTTGCGTTAACCATTTTCGATGTACAAAGCGCGTTTATTTCGAACGATCGAATTATTTTGATGCATCGATAATGAAATTTGTACGGACGGGGTAAATAGGACGAATTCGTTGTCGGGATGATACACGATATACGATGTCACGATTGTTGTTCCCTTCCGTGAGAACAATTACTTTGTCTCGCACGACGTGTGTCGAGTATGTGCGCGAGTTAACTCCGATCATTTCAAGCGTCTTCGGATCGTTGTGTGGATTTCGCGCTGAAACAGCTGGAACTAATGTACGATGCTTTTCGACTTACGAATGTTGGCATTCACCAGAAACATTCTCTTCGTGCTAAATTAGGAGTGTAATGAGAAAAATATAATAATAAGTCGAGAGAACAATTTCCACGTAACCACGGCGGGAACTTCCCTTTGTATACACTTGCGAATTCACACAGACTGCCACCATGTTTTCATACCAGACACTCGTATGGAAAAAAAAAAAAAAAGAAAAAAAGTCTCATCCGAGAGAGCACAAAGTGTTCCGAGAAAATTAATCGTAAAATTTGTAGAGAATTAAAAAGAAAGAAGATATTAACTTCTCCGATTTTTAAACAATTTTCAACGACCTCTGCGATACGTCGTTAAATTCAGTCAGCTACGTGAAGGAGAACACGAAGAAAAAATACGACTTTTCATTTTATTTTATTTTTCACATATTTCGGCGTCTCAGTTTAAATGTCCCACCCTGTATATTAATACGCGAGCCTGATCCAGCGCGCGAGACACCTTTGGATGTGTACAACGCATGGGAGAAAGAGATCGCCGTGGAACGGTAAAGCCGTTAAAGTGATTTCTCACTGCGGCGTATTGTGATTTTCTTCGCGTATAAATCTCTCTGCCTCTCTCTCGAGAACAAATAACAAATTTGATTTGGAAAATATTGACGCGTCACGGGATATATAATACTATTGAAAGAACTAGAAATTCTGTTGAACCACCGAGTGGCAGAAAACCGATCGGAACCGCAAAGATCTTGCTGCATACGTTTCACCATTTTTTCTTTTTTCTTTTTTTTTAATGAGTTATGTGTGGAAAGAAAGAAAGGGGCCAGAAAGAGAGAGAGAGAGAGAGAGAGAGAGAGAGAGTGAAGAGAGAGAGGGGGGGAGGAAGGATAAGTGCTCTTCGTTCTGCCGATAGGAATCGTACGCGTTGCGAGTGGGATTATTCTTGAGCTTTTATAGATCACAACTCTTGGACGGGAAAGAGAGTGACAGGGAAAAAGAGAGAGAGAGAGAGAGAGAGAGAGAGAGAGTGAGGGGGAGCGTCTGCTTCCGCTCTTTCGAATATAGAGAGCAGATCAGTGTCGGACGAGAACGCTATCCGACCCGATTAACGTATCGGAAAACTCATCCGCACGATCTCACGTATTGAGCGGGTATGTCTTTAAGCTTCCGCTATGGCGATTCTGAATGCCATTTGAGCTCTAGCCTTCTTCCGACTGTAATATTCATGAGTACGCGTCGTTTAATTTCGTACCTCATGCGTTTTGAAATGCGTCCTGATGCTCATTTTCGGCAGCCCTTCAGCGCGGTTTTGCAAAAAGAGAGATTACTTCGCTTTTACGCAACCCAACTGGATGATGATCGATGACGATGATGACATTCGGGAAACAGCAAAATAAGTTTGGTATTACCTTCAAAGGCAGATAGAAAGTGTTGCATTAACATTCTGAAGCCACTTATCCACGATACATTCTCTTTGTCGTTGTTGTCCTCTGAAAAGTCCATCTTAAAAAGCGAGCTTTTGCGAACACGTGTTTTACCGATTTTCCAACCTTTATCTTTTCAACCGAATCTGCCCCGAGTCGCTCGGTAGAGTTCAAATACGTCCTCTGTATGAAGTTATATTCTCTGTAATAAGAATTCTAGCTGCGCCTTGTCGCGTCCTCCACACGTAGAGGATCGTACAAACCGTTCTTCTTCCTTTTCCTTTGACTCTCTTTTCCCTTACCTGCCGTCACCTGTGCTTCGTGCCGCATGCCGCAATGTGAACCGCTACAGCCGCGAGTGAAAAAAACATAAGGCGGTATATATCTGGGAGAAAGACCGCTTTCGACTTCGCGCTCGCGAAAGGGGATCGGAAGATCGCGGCGGCGGCGGCGGCAGCCTTATAGGTCGGTTGCTGAAGAGAGAATCGCGAAACGCGCTCCATAGAGTGCCGCTAGTAGTCGACACTGAGAGACGGGAGTGGAGAATCGCGGAAAGAGCACGATAGAGGCAGCGAGGAAGGAGGGTGAGAGAGAGAGAGAGAGAGAGAGAGAGAGAGAGAGAGAGAGAGAGAGAGAGAGAGGAGGGGGGAGAGGGGACGCAGAGAGAACGGCTGCCACAAAGTAGGCGCGGCGTTTTATCGTCGACTAAAGACGGAGAGACGCTCTTTTACATACTCTTTTGCACGTGCTTGCCGGGAATCCTCCCCTCAGCCACCGCCGTCATCCCTTCGCCGCTTATCGTAACAAGTTCCGTCGACGAGATGCAGCCGATGCGTCGCCGTTGCGGCGTGTTGTCGTGGCGCCATAGCGCTTCTCGATTCTCTACAAGGCTGCCCTATACTCGCGCCTGGCTGTCTTTTTCCCGGGGATTTTCATTTACCGCGACGTCCGTCTCTCTTCCCCCGAGTCGAAAGCATGATCGAAACTATCAAGGGCTCGTCGAGAAACTGCTTTTTACACAGATGCGACCCGCCCCTCCGTACAGTCGCGACTGGTGAACTCGAGGACTCGCGAGAATGCGCAGAGGTCTCCCGGAAGATATTCAAGACCCTCAAACAGACGTACCGACAACAAAATCATACAAGTCAGTTCAGTGCTGACCCCCCGCCCCCGCTTTCTTTTTTGACATTTAAGTAGACCAAGAAGTATTCGAAAACAAGAACGATGCATGCTCGATGATGAAGGTTTATCATTCGCGAAAACAGATAAATACTTCGGGTAATTTTGTGCGGTGGATAGTTGCTTTATTACACCGAGGGTGTTGACATACGTCGACAGCCGGCTTTAACTGATCATTCCAAAAATTCAACGAAGTTTGTAGAATCAGATATACGTTAAATAAATACGTGCGAGTTGTATTTTCGCCAGTGGATAAAAAACATCTGTCAGTGCATTTCATCGACTCGCCATTGATCTCGTATATTTTATTTATTAAGTGCCTGTTAAAAATTGATTACATCTGAGGTGCAAATTAACGCAGCACGGTTGCATCATAGCCGCTGGTCATCGATGATGCCGTTATCTGTGAAAGCTTGTTAATATTGATAATTAAAAAGTCGCAACAATTTTTCTCCCCCCCCTCTCTCTTTCTCTCTCTCTCTCTCTCTCTCTCTCTCGCTGTTTGCCTCTCTTTCTCGATATCTTCGCAGAGGAGAAATTTACTCTGAATAACTAATCTAAATATCTGTGAACGAGGCATGGCTCATCAATTCCGGAATATTGCGTACGCATTATTGATCAACGGCTACATACAATTTATGCACAAGTGATTTATGCATTCGCGGATAATTTATACACAGACGCTTTATTCACCGATGCAAGGAGCGTGAGTCACGAGTGTGCTCAAACAGCTCATAAAAAGAGAAAAACACGATACATAGCTTCTGTGAATGCTTATTGGGAAATATATATATATATATATTTATAGCGGAATCTTGGAATTATATCGTTATGTAAAAAAAAAAACAGAGAACCTGGGCAACAAAATGATACGTCTATTTGTATAAATCATTCAGATATCAGATATCTTGATTCAGAAGTCTTTCGTCATAAATACTTCATTTGCGTGTCAGCGTACTTCTCTTCCCGGAACTTTGCTTTGTTTATTGATCAGCGCCGGTAGGGAGAAGAACCTTTCAAATTAACTTAATATTACACGAGTGATAATTACCGAAATGGTTTCCAATTCTGGATGTCACGGTTGATCACCGGTGACGTATACTATAATGCTATCGCGACTAATTAAGTAATTAACAAAGTAAAGTATAATTATAGAGATAAGTATAATATATAATAAATAAGATTTAATTAATTGCGCCTATAAAATTCGCTATACTGCCGATAAAGGACCTAAGAAGCAGGATATATCATACACAGAAGAGACGCGCAAGCCGTATCACTCAAGGGAAACCCTTTTCTTATTGTTACAGGCGAGGTGATCGGGCAGCGGTTCCTCGGCAATGAGAGCCACGTGGAGCACTTCAAGCTCCTGGAGCGCGCGACAACCTCGATCCTCATTGGTGCCAGGTAATTGTTACATGATTTGATTTTTCGTCACGTTCCCTTTACCACGGCGGCTTACATAAATGAGATAGTCATCAGTCAGAACGCGCCGCGTTCATCCGCGCCACGAGGCCCGGATGCCGCCGACGCTAACAGTCATTCATTCGATTACGCATCAAGTAGATGACGCGAGTGTGACGCAGCATCGCGCGCAGCGTCGACGCTGACGAACGGAGAAACATCTTAAGCCGGAATATGTTGGCGGACGTTGGACCGACGACGAGCGCGTTCGCCTACTGAATGCTACGAGAGCGAGAAAGAAGCAAAAGTTTCGTTGTTACAAGCGAAAATCTCGTTAGCACAGCTGCAATATGCAGGCGTCTAGTTTTCCACGTAGCAACTGAGTGTCGGAGGAGGACGTAAGATTAACGACTGTGCCTGCTTGGAAAGTTGGAATATTATCCGTACGGCAGTTTTCTTCGGAGTACAACAAAGACGATTTTTCATGAGAAAACCAATGGAGCGAGATAACTCGGGACATTCAACGAAACAAATTGGTCGAGACAACTTTTCTGTTGTTACAATTAATTACCTCGTCATTGAAAAGCAAATTTGGCGCAGTTGACGTATTTCATTGTGATTAGTACTTGATCATTTTCGTAATAGAAATTGAGCGAAACAACGATGTTTATAGCAATAGAAGATTATGATAATTGTCCGAAGTGAAAAAATTGATTTATATATCAATCTCTTGGATAATATTAATGTATCGGGTTGGGTTGCTTCAACAAACAATTCGTCCGGCTTTTTTTGCGCAATAATTAAAATTCAACATTGAAATATTATGATGCAAATTTAATTAATAATGCATGTGTCACGTTTTTTTTAACAATGTCACGTATCTTTCAAATTTTTAGCTTTATTATTCCGTCAGTATGAAATTGAGCGGGCTTTTTATTAAAGAAGTTATGCAGTTTCTAACGGCCGAGTTTGACAGCCTTCAGAGATTGAAATTTTTTAATGTTTTAAACTGTCCCAGCCGTTTTAAAGTGAATAGAGCAAGTAATAGTCTAAAAATGCTGAAATATCGGAAGAATATGCTAAATATGAAGATTTTGTGCCTATGGCGACTTGTTTCTTTCACTTTAGGATCATTTTCGCATAACGTATAAATGATATATATATTTTTATCAGTCACCGGGAAATGTTAAAAATGGCTCTTTTTGTTATTTTCACAGAGCAAATTGCAGAGACGCGATTTAAATAATTTCTCTCGTTCAATGAGAATCACTCACACATCGTGTCGTTCAAACTTTTATGTGGCATATTTTTTCTACCTGACGAATTTCTGTGAAATCTCGCATTCCTGTGTTTTCTGGATCGCTGATTATAAATCTAAAAGTAGATTTCAAAAATTCGAAATGGCAAATCCAATATGTCTGTAAAAAGTATACTTATCGCTGCTACGCAAAAGGTTAATCCAAGTTTCTTCAAACGAGTTACGAACTGATATTTTAGATATTCGGAGTATCTCAGCAATCTATCTTCTGGTAGAATTCATTTTGAATTGAAGTGGCGATTTGGCTGTCATCAACCGAGCAAGTCCTTGTTGAGCGTGGAGCATCTTCCTAAGTGAAGTCCTGCTCGAAACTTGGCAAACCACTTCTGAGATGTTCGGTCATTTACAGCATTGTTTTCACGACACAAGTTTCCCGTTGAGTTTGCGTTGCAATTTTTACTCCTGCGATAATAAGATTGCATAAGATGGCGAAAATGTGCACTTTCATATCTTCCATTTTTAAATTGTCACCGCGACGAATCTGTATGACAATATTTGTTAACGCACGTCCATATGTGTGTGTGTGTGTGTGTGTGTGTGCAAAATTAAAAATAAAACCCGCAAAATGTGATATCAGATAGCTAATAGAAAAATTAAAAAAAAGATTAAAAAGAATATATATATAAAGTAGCCGTAAAATACGGAGATAATTATAGTTAATTAAACATATCTGTGTGTGCATGACTGCACAGCACAATGGAACACAAAGGGAAATAACCGAATTCTGAATTGGTAATACGAATTACAATAGAAGCAAGAGATAGAACACAAGGATGATTGCACAGGTAGTGATGCAATCACAATTAGATATATTATTGCATTATATACTTTGTCTGTCGGCAGGAACGATTTGCGAGTTTAGATGCAATCATTAGCGATTAGGGCAAAGAAACATTGAACTTTGAATTTCATTAGAGATTTAAGGTTTAAGTCGACGGATTTCTAAATACGGAGCGAGGTGCATGTCTGAACTATATGAAGGTCAATGCGAGAATAAATTTCTGACGGCTGGCAATGGTGTGGCAACGGAGTACTCGCGTTTTGTCTTAACGGCTTCGTTAGAAAAGGTACGATAACGTGTCGCCGATGCCGTGATGTGTCTAAGTATTTTACGAAGCACTGTAGCAGCCGCATTATAGAACTCTGCGAAGCAGCTGCAGTCTTACGGACCTCGGTTATTATCGCAATAATAATAACAATAACGATAACGCAAGGAAACGTTTGAGAGTTCCTGAGAGACAGAGAGGATAAAAGAAGTACAACGTCGTTGCCAATGAATATCTGGCTTCTATTTCGCTTTCTAAATTTCTTGGAGCGAAATCTCATTTAGGAAAAGTGAAAATCCACATGCAGCGATGATAAAAATATCAGAACTGTAAAAATAAACGTCCGAGTCAAGGTCAGAGTGGATTCTGAGACTTCATGCAAGCGAATGTTTCAATCGGTTAAAAAAGAATTGTTTCTATGATGGCGGAATATGTCAGACACACTTTCTAATTTTAAGTGAAACTATTTACTCGATGATTGAAAGGACCATTATTTCGCTCGCGAGAATGGTCTCTAATCTCCGATCGTGTTTGGCATTTGTGTCAAGGAAACGGCTAAATTGTACAAAGGATTTGCGAATAAAGGACGATCCGAGACATCCCATTATCCACCATCAATTCCACGGTCATAAAGGGAGATAATTCCCGTTCGCAAATGTACCCCTCGATTACATCCTTCTCTCCTTTCCATCTTACCTCACTCCTCCACGCCGATGGACTGTTCGTTTATCTTCTCTCTTATCTTATGTTATTTTATCAATTCGCTCCGGTTACGTCGTTGAAGCCGTCGGCGGACATCAAAAGCGTATCTTTTTGTGAGATCCGATACAAATGCATCGGCTAATGGAAATTTGATACGGATCAAAAAATAATTTAATTTTTTCCCCGGTCATGCCTTCCGCGCCAACAGTCAGCGCAGTGTTCCTAGGTCGTAAAATCAATTACATCCGAGATATATAGCGCGAATCTTTTACGACTCCAATTTCATCTCTCCCTTTAGTCCTTTCTTTTTTTTTTCTTTTTTTTTTTACTTGATTTATCTTTCGCACTTTCATTTCTTCTGTGCACGCAGCTTCGTCTGCGAGATTTGAAAAGTTGGATATTATCAGAAAATAGTTCTTCTATTTTACCGTAGGAAAATTATATACTCTCACGCGCTTCTGTATATTAGGTTAACATAAAAAATTCGTTATTTGCCCGCTGAATTCTGACTCGTGTGGAGTGAATAATATTAATACTGTCGACTATTCGACGGGTATAAATCTACCCGTTTCATGTTTTATTATACTAAGAATGACTATTGTAAGTGGATTGTTCTATTTTCTTGCGTCATTGTCGCTATATATGAATATTTCACTTAGCGATCAAGTAAACTCGTCGTGAAGATAAATGAATAAATTAATAACACACGTATTAAGCTAAGTATAGAAAGTTGATTCTGTTGAAAAGCTTGAACATTTGGAATTTTAATCGTTATTTTTTCCTAAAACAATTTATGAGAAGATTTTAATTGAATTATAATATTTTCCTGGAGATAACTAAATGACCGTTCAGTGACATTCCAAACGATATGCATAATTAAGAAATATCTTCAATAAGACGTTACGAAAAGACATCTGAAGTAAACGTCTTCAAGTTGTTACCAAATATCTCTTATAGACGTCTTTGAACGATTATAGTTTAAGGAACCTATATCGTGCAGAACGCCTTTAAAACATCTTAAAACAATATCTCAGAGACTTTTTAAATCAAGGCGTAAGATTTATTAAGGACGTTATAAAGATGCCTTTCTGATCTGATTTAAGACGCCTTAGGAATTTTAAGATGTCTTTTAAACGTCTTTACGTCGTCATAATGTTGCCTGTGATGAGATGGTATGGCTTTGTTTTCTCGTCGACGGATATCCTGACAGAGGTTCATCCTGCCAGTCATCCTGTATATAATTTACAGTAAGGATATATATTTGTAGAATGAATATAGACACGTATTATCTGATTTATCAAGGATTATAATTAACAGATGCAATTATCACAAATTATCATTGTCGCTAATGGGGATATTCATTTTATAAATATAGCGAGCGTCAATAAAATCGATTGGTGATTGATAAAACAAAAGATAAAACACTGGTAGATATTTATTCCGAGTTCATTTGTCAAAGTTGCATATAAACATAAATTCATATGTGCCGCTAGCAGACCCTTCCAGTCTTTTTTCACCTTTGATCGAGTATGCACTCTGTTATATATAGATATATTGAACCCCGCTCAGAAAGTTCGTATTTGAATTTACCCAACAGATGACGTTGGAAATTCATACGCGAAGTATTGTCATTTCCATTCTTATGAGTTTTGAGACTAATCTGAGGCATTTTGTAATGTGCTGAGGAAAAGATTTGTGCAAATTTATTTATTTATTGTTCTTTATTATTAAATGTATAATTTATTTATTGTTCTTTATTATTAAAACTTTAGTTACTTCTATTTTCGACTTTAACAAAGTCAAGTTGGCAAAGCGTTAGAAAGAAAATAGAATTTTGTGAGACATTTGTGAGAAAGAGAGAGAGAGAGAGAGAGAGAGAGAGAGAACGCTGACTGACGTCATCAGGTTTATTTGTAAAAAATTATTAGTATCTCGAAACTGAATGCTTTTGTTTACGACCTTATCCGTTAAACACGACGAAGTTCTTGCGTCGATTTAACGGTATATATACTGTTTCTTACATCGCTAATTTTCGCCGTCTGAATTGTAATTACTCGCGCTCGTATTCGAGTCGCCGTTGGTGCGGCGACGCAGAAAACGCAGAGATTACGGTCGCGATTTATAGCTGGGATTTAACGCTCTTGTTTCGTTTTTCAGGAACGCCATTTACAACATAAGTCTGCATGATCTAACGGAGATCGTCGACCAGGTGAGTACAGAGCCATATAACCATTTCCAATATCTAGAGCTCGGCAAAGAATGATTTAAATTGGAGAACCGACAGGAAGATTTAAATAACTTCGCTCCTCTCTCGCGCTTTCCTCTGTGGATTACTATATTTCAAAAATAAAAAAGAATTACAGTTTATTGCAGCCATCTGTAATATTAAAAGAGCTGCTAACGATTCACTGAAGTTTTTACTTCTCTCTCTCTCTCTCTCTCTCTCTCTCTCTCTCTCTCTCTCTCTCTCTCTCTCTCTCTCTCTCTCTCTCACTCACTCTCCCTCTACCTTTAACTATTTATTCAATCGGTCAGAAATTTCGTTCGCAGTTAGTCAATAAAATTGGAAATCATTGGAAATTAACATTAGAAGTAAAGTCATTCGTAATCTATGTTTAATCTATGTCTAAATTTTGTATGATTCTGAAATATTTTTCTAGAAAAAAAATCACGTTTCGTGTTCGGTGGAATTGGAATAGAATAATATACTATGAACTTTTATGAAATTTAACGAAACTATTAATCCTGATAAAGACTTTGGTTGGGACATCTTATCTTTACCTATCATATTTTCCTGAGCACTGCACCTTCGGGCTACCATCTGTTTCACTCGCTCTAAAATAGTTTGAACAGTTTGAAACAGTAAAGAATTGGAATCTTTGAAGGCCGTAAAAATTCACCTGGGTAACTTCCTTAATGAGAAGCTGACTCAATTCTACGAAATTATTGACGGAATAATAAAGCTACTCGGAAGATGACTCGATATTGTCCGTGATTGTACATACATTGTTAATTGCATTTTAATATTTAATTCCTGAACTTTAATTGCCGCAAATACATACGAATGAACTCTCTGATCTGACCGATATTTATCCATTTATCTGTCTCACTCTCGACTGCAGCTAAAAGAGCGCAATCCTTACGCAACGAACACGACCTGGAAGAACCTGAAAGAACGCGTATGATTTGTAAACACGCGACAATAACGCGCCGTTTGGCGAATGAAAAATAAATTTGTCGGATGAGAATTTTTCCGCCCCCGCAGGATTCTCGAAGAATAATTTTTTTTTCTTCCTATCGTATCATCATTAGGAACGTAGAAAGTAGCCATTAGGTGAGAAAAAACTCGATCCATCAAGCCAAAATTAATTATTAGTGGGGGGGGGGCTTGTGGATCGAGCTTCTTGTCTCGCCTACCGGTTATTTTTGACAAAAAAAAAATTGTTTCTCGAGAATCCTGTAGGGGCAGACGCAGGACGCTCTTGTCGACCCTCCTCCTTCTTCGGCGTAACGTTTCATGCACGCGTAGGGTAACTCAGAGAATTCGTACTTTTCATTAGGGGGTTCGATAACTTATACAGCGAGCTGGCGAACGCCCTTATCCGATTCTTGCCACGATAGCCGCAATCTCTTCTTACTCGACTTCCTGGAAATCGCGACAAATGATAAGAACCTTAATAATCCCTTCTCACGAAAAGACTGTTTTCACACAAGGATACCGACACGCTCGCCCTACGTAGTTAATTTACGTAATTGAGGCGATAACCGGAACGCCGCGCGTCTGTGGAGGTCTAACGGACCTCCTCTTTGGCGAGGATTTTATTCAATTCTGCTTTCCCTCTCGAATTCATCGGGCGTCGGATTTGCGCTATCGGTATCGCTCTCGCGCGTATTTCAGTCTCGGAGAAACGTCAATACTGGAGACGACGAGTGTACGAAAAATAGAAGGAACAGGGGAGAATCGGGCGGAGAGAAGCGAACGGACATATCGGACGATCGCTCGCACGATACACTTGAATACGATCGTTGTAATTGTTTTCGCGTTATAGCGCCACCTTATCGAACGAACTACGTCCAAGCTCGAATTGACAGGTTTCCGCTGAGCCGCTGAGAGAGATCACACGAGCGCCGCGAATTGCAGCTGCCGACGATTTCGGGCGCAACACAGTATTTATCCACAAATTTGTTCCCAATACGTTCGGATTCACCGTGAGCGAAACGGTCGGTTTAAAAACGCGCGATGAAAACAACCCAGAAATGTTCAGACCCAGAAAAATTCAGAAAGTCAGCGTGTGTATTTCGGTTCGGCGTGCAAAAAAGAGAGAAACAGGAGAAAAAAACTATAACACATCAGGAAAGAATCGAGATCGTTCGATAGTGTCAAAAATATACGCACGTGCGCGCAACCGCACGCGCACTCATGTATACACACACACACACATTTCGTGTACATATAGATGATCTTTTCGTTATATTAGAAGGGAGGAAGATTCCACGGCGAGAGAGAGAGAGAGAGAGAGAGAGAGAGAGAGAGCGAGGGAATCATCTCGCTCGGCTTAAAAACACGATTTCACGAGAGTGTTATTCCCGAGATGCGATTTCCCGCAGTTACGAGCCAGCAGCCAGCCGTTCTCTCTCAGCCGACGTTGATTACTCTTACAGATCTACTGCGCATATATGTGTACCTAACTTGTACGTTTCCTGCGAGACAGCGGAGCAAAAGTCACAAAAGCGATATTGATCTCCGCGGCGAAACTCCGCTAGAAACTGGCACTCGGCAGAACCCACGGGAGACGAGATTTAGCGCGAACTGCGAAAGAGCGAGAGAGGGATGGTGGGTAGACAGGGGGAAGAGGAAGCGGGAGAGAATTTTGACTCCGTAGCGCGGCTTCGCGTAACGTAGGCGAGGCGAGGAGATCGATCGAAGACAGCTCTGCTCGGCCAATAACACACCCCCGCCTAGAATAGAATCGTAAAAATCAGCGCGCGCCGGTTCGCCGGTTCACCGGTATCGCGACCGACCGACCGATCGATCGATCGACCGTCTATCGAGACACCCCGGTTTCGATTCCGATTTGCAGGATTTAACCGTAATGGAAGATAGCGGCAAGGACTCGCGAAGGTCCGCCGATATCTCCTCCGCGGACGACTCGATGCAGTTTAGCTATTTTCGCAGGATCGCCGGTTAAGCGCTTTTTTCCCCCCGCCGAGTCGTCATTTCTGCGAATAATTCTTCTGCTCGCTCGTTCGCGGAATGAATCCGAATCCGGCTCGAGCCGCGCGACAGCGTATCGGAAATATCCCACTCTCGTCCTCCTGCGCTTTTCTCTCTTCCTTACGCCCCGAAACGTTCATATTCGTTCCCGCGATACGCATTCCAATGTGTCTGTGAAGTTAGCGCGACGTTTTAAAAATTAAAAGCTATTAAAAAACCAATGTTAGCTTCGGCAATGTAGCATTTTTTCATAGTTCCACGGTTCCTGATAAAAATAAGAAAAAAGTCCCGTATTCTTAATAGCAAAAGGTCGAAGCTGGAAAAATGTCGTGCCAACTTCACGTTCCAGCACGACACAGCACTTCTCTAAAGTACAAGAAGCCAGTGAATAATACGCTTTTTGATGAGAGTTCCCCCGTTAGTTCTAAGCTGGTTCCACAACTATGGAGCTCGGATTTCGGAACTATGGATTTCGGAACAACATTCCGACGATTAACAACTCTGTGCAATTTTAAATATTCGCCGCCAGCACGACACTCGGCGAAAACATGTCGTGCCCGTCGACTTACCGCACTTCCGACGGTAGTTCCAGGCTTGTTCTACTCGAGTTCCATACAACCATTTGCGGTCATTGTTCCGCCGTATAATTATTTTTAACTTAATTTTAACTTTAAAATTAATTCAAAAATAATCACGGCGGAACAATGACTATAAATGGTCGAATCGTATAGAACTCGAGTAGAACAAGCTAGAACTACTTACGTCAGAAGTGCGGTAAGTCGACGGGCGCGACATGTTTTCACCGAGTGTCGTGCCGACGGCGAATATTTAAAATTGTACAGAGTTGTTAATCGTCGGAATGTTGTTCCGTAATGCTTCATTGTTGCAGAACTAGCTTAGAACTAACGGGGGGAACTCTCGTCAGAAAGCGTATTATTCACCGGCTTCTTGTACCTTGAGGGAGACTGCGTCGTGCTGGAACGCGAAGTTAGCACGACACTTTTTCAGCTTCGACTTTTTCGTATTAAGAACACGGAACTTTTTTCTTTATTTTTATCAGGAACTGTGGAACTATGAAAAATGCTACTAAAACCAACATTGTTTTTCAATAATTTCTAAAACGTCTCGCGCTAACTTCAACAGACACCGTTTCAATCGCGCGCACATTACGGCCGCCCGACTGATCGGTATTATCCTTCCCCAGGAACTGCTTAAATAACAGCAGGTTTATCCTATATTTCCCGCTTGACTTCTTCCTTTCGCGAATCTCTATCCCCCCCCCCCTCCCCGTTACCACGACGGTTTGCTAAGTGTCTCGTGCAGTTTGCGACCAATCTATCGCTATTTTTGCGACAAATGACAGAAAAAGCGAGAGGAAGAGGGGGAGGGGGGGGAGCTATTAACTCTGCCTTAGGCTGCATATTCCACGCGATGCGTCGCTCGGAACGAAAACGAGGGTGAGTGATTATCAGTTCGCGATACAGCAGTATCAAAGTAGATTGTACCGGATGGGTTTTATCGCGGCGTGGAGGTACCTCCGTGGAAATGCGAATGAAATACTATTCATTCCCGTTTCCATCCGCTCTCGCGCTCCATCCGGGCGTACGTTGCGCAAAAACACCGAGAGATCCTCCGCGCGCTGCTTTACGGTTATCGCGCGGAAGATCCGAATAAAACGTAATGTTGTATCAATCAAATCAGTTTACCGCTGTATTGGAAAACTAACTTAACGTTAAAAATTCAACGCCGGGGGATCGCCGCCACGGGCATCTCCGCTCCGACGACGACGACGACGACGACGACGACGAGATTATACACACTTCGGTCCCGTTTGATCCCGCGAGGCCGCCTCGATGACCACTCTCCCGCCACGTATGCGCGATATGTTAATCGCGCATCGCCGCATAAATAAAGATCAATTGGAAAATGTATTAAAATATCGCGATATGCATACATATGAAACCGCGCGCGGATATCGAGCGGAGCAAGGCGGC